AAAAAGACTGGCCCCTGAGGGGATCGAACCCCGGGCCTTCGCGTTATTAGCACGACGCTCTAACCAACTGAGCTAACGGGCCCAGAAATCGACTCTCCTTCAGCATACCATTTTTTTTGTTCGATGGCTTTTACAAACAATTTAAAATGGAAAAAGACGGGCCCCTGGGGGATCAACCCCCGACCTTCGCGTTTTGCCGACGCTCCCCGACTAACGGGCCGACGAAATGCTCTCCTTCAGCATACCATTTTTTTGTTCGATGGCTCCTTCCAAACAATTGAAAAGTGCAAAAAAAACTGGCCCGGAGGGGGCAACCCACCCCGTTTTGCCGACGCTCTAACCAACTGGCAACGGGCCGGCAAATCGCTTCCTTAGCATACCATTTTTTTGTACGGGTCCCCCCAAGAAAAGTGCAGAAAAAAAAACTGGCCCGTGGGGGGTCGAACCCCGACCTTCCCTTATTAGCACGACGCTCTAACCAACTGAGCTAACGGGCCCCGGGAAAACGGTCTCCTTCAGCATACCATTTTTTTTGATCGGGTCCCTTTCAAACAATTTAAAAAGGGAGAAAAAAAACTGGCCCGTGGGGATCAACCCGACCTTCGCGTTAAGCACGACGCTCAACCAACGACTAACGGGCCACGAAATGACCTTTTCCCTTCAGCATACCATTTTTTTGCATCCCTTCAAACAAGAAAAATGCGGAAAAAGACGGGCCCCTGGGGATAACCCGCGACCTTCGCGTTATTAGCCCGACGCCTAACCAACGAGCAAAGGGGGCGAAATCGACCTCCTTCGCCCATTTTTTTGAATGGCCCCCTTCCAAACAATTGAAAAGGCAAAAAGGGCCCGTAGGGATCGAACCCGGCCTTATTAGCACGACCTTCCCAAATGAGCTCGGGGGGAGAAATCGACTCTCCTTGCATACCATTTTTTTGTATCATGGCCCCCTTCAAAAATTGAAAAGTGCAGAAAAAAAAACGGCCCGTGAGGGGGTCGAAAACCCCCGACCTTCGCGTTATTAGCACGACGCTCAACCAACTGGCTAACGGGCCACGAAATTTCCTTTTCCTTACACCATTTTCTGTATATCTTTCCAAACAATTGAAAAGTGCAGAAAAAAGACTGGCCCGTAGGGGGTCGAACCCGGACCTTTGCGTTTTTTGCACGACGTCTAACCCAATGAGTAACGGGCCACCGAATCGACCCCCTTCAGCATACCATTTTTTTGTATCGTGCCCCCCCAAACAATTGAAAAGTGCAGAAAAAAACTGGCCCGTGAGGGGGTAACCCCGGGCCTTTGGTTTTGGACGCTCTAAACCCAATGAGCTAACGGGCCAGAACGACTTCCTTCCAGCATACCATTTTTTTTGTTCGATGCCCCTTTTAAACAATTGAAAAGGCAGAAAAAAGATCCCCTGAGGGGGTCGAACCCGCGACCTTTGCGTTATTGCACGACCCAACCCTCCAACGGGGGAAATGCCCCCTTCAGCATACCATTTTTCGTTCGATGGCCCTTCAAACAATTGAAAAGTGCAGAAAAAACTGGCCCGTAGGGGATGAACCCGCGACCTTCGCGTTATTAGCACGACGCTCTAACCAACTGAGCTAACGGGCCGACGAAATCGACTCTCCTTCAGATACCATTTTTCTGTATCGATGGCTCCCTTACAAACAATTGAAAAGTGCAGAAAAAAGACTGGCCCGGGGGATCGAAAACCCCCGACCTTCGCGTTATTAGCACGACGCTCTAACCAACTGAGCTAACGGGCCCACGAAATCGACTCTCCTTCAGCATACCATTTTTCTGTATCGATGGCTCCCTTCCAAAAAATTGAAAAGTGCAGAAAAAAAGACTGGCCCGTGAGGGATCGAACCCGCGACCTTCGCGTTATTAGCACGACGCTCTAACCAACTGAGCTAACGGGCCGACGAAATCGACTCTCCTTCAGCATACCATTTTTCTGTATCGATGGCTCCCTTCCAAACAATTGAAAAGTGCAAAAAAGACTGGCCCGTGAGGGATCGAACCCGCGACCTTCGCGTTATTAGCACGACGCTCTAACCAACTGAGCTAACGGGCCGACGAAATCGACTCTCCTTCAGCATACCATTTTTCTGTATCGATGGCTCCTTCCAAACAATTGAAAAGTGCAGAAAAAACGGCCCGTGAGGGATCGAACCCGACCTTCGCGTTATTGCGACGCTCAAACCAACTGAGCTAACGGGCCGACGAAATCGACTCTCCTTCAGCATACCATTTTTCTGTATCGATGCCTACAAACAATTGAAAAGTGCAGAAAAAAGACTGGCCCGTGAGGGATCGAACCCGCGACCTTCGCGTTATTAGCACGACGCTCTAACCAACTGAGCTAACGGGCCACGAAATCGACTCTCCTTCAGCATACCATTTTTCTGTATCGATGGCTCCCTTCCCAAAAAATTGAAAAGTGCAGAAAAAGACTGGCCCGTGAGGGATCGAACCCCGACCTTCGCGTTATTAGCACGACGCTCTAACCAACTGAGCTAACGGGCCGACGAAATCGACTCTCCTTCAGCATACCATTTTTTTGTTTGATGGCTCCCTTCAAACAATTGAAAAGTGCAGAAAAAGACTGGCCCGTGAGGGGATCGAACCCGCGACCTTCCCCGTTTTAGCCAGCTCTAACCAACTGAGCTAACGGGCCGACGAAATCGACTCTCCTTCAGCATACCATTTTTCTGTATCGATGGCCCCTTAACAATTGAAAAGTGCAGAAGGGCTGGCCCGTGAGGGGATCGAACCCGCGACCTCGCGTTATGCGACGCTCAACCAACGGCTAACGGGCACGAAATCGACTCTCCTTCAGCATACCATTTTTCTGTATCGATGGCCCTTCAAACAATTGAAAAGTGCAGAAAAAAAGACTGGCCCGTGAGGGGATCGAACCCGCGACCTTCGCGTTATTAACGACGCTCTAACCAACTGAGCTAACGGGCCGACAATCGACTCCCTTCAGCATACCATTTTTTCTGTATCGATGGCCCTTCCCAAAAAATTGAAAAGTGCAGAAAAAAGACTGGCCCGTGAGGGGATCAACCCCCGACCTTCGCGTTATTAGAAAGACGCTCTAACCAACTGAGCTAACGGGCCACGAAAAAAGACTTCCTTAGCATACCATTTTTCTGTTCGGATGGCCCATTACAAACAATTGAAAAGTGCAGAAAAAGCTGGCCCGTGAGGATCGAACCCGACCTTCGCGTTATTAGCACGACGCTCTAACCAACTGAGCTAACGGGGGCGAAATCGACTCTCCTTCAGCATACCATTTTTTCTGTTCGATGGCTCCCCTTAAACAATTGAAAATGAAAAAGACTGGCCCGTGAGGGGGTGAACCCGCGACCTTCGCGTTATTGCCGACGCTCTAACCAACTGAGCTAACGGGCCACGAAATCACTCTCCTTTAGCATACCATTTTTCTGTATCGATGGCCCCCCCCAAAAAAATTGAAAAATGCAGAAAAAAAAAAGGCCCCTGAGGATCGAAACCCCCCTTCCCTTATTAGCACCGCCTAACCAACTGAGCTAAAGGGCCGAGAAATCGACTTCCTTCAGCATACCATTTTTCTGTATCGATGGCCCTTCAACAATTGAAAGTGCAGAAAAGACTGGCCCGTGGGGATGAACCCGCGACCTTCGCGTTATTACGACGCTCTAACCAACTGAGCTAACGGGCCGACGAAATCGACTCTCCTTCAGCATACCATTTTCTGTATCGATGGCTCCTTCAAACAATTGAAAAGTGCAGAAAAAAGACAGCCCGTGGGGGGTCGAACCCGCGACCTTCGCGTTATTGAACGACGCTCTAACCAACTGAGCTAACGGGCCCCAAATCGGCTTTCAGCATACCATTTTCTGTATCGATGGCTCCCTTCCAAACAATTGAAAAGTGCAGAAAAAGCGGCCCCCTGAGGATCGAACCCGACCTTCGCGTTTTGCACGACGCTCTAACCACTGAGCTAACGGGCCGACGAAATCGACTTTCCTTCAGCATACCATTTTCTGTATCGATGGCTCCCTTACAAACAATTGAAAAGTGCAGAAAAAAAGACTGGCCCGTGAGGGGATCGAACCCGCGACCTTCGCGTTATTAGCGACGCTCTAACCAACTGAGCTAACGGGCCGGACGAAATCGACTCTCCTTCAGCATACCATTTTTCTGTATCGATGAAACCTTCAAACAATTGAAAAGTGCAGAAAAAAGACTGGCCCGTGAGGATCGAACCCGCGACCTTCGCGTTATTAGCGACGCTCTAACCAACTGAGCTAACGGGCCGACGAAATCGACTCTCCTTCAGCATACCATTTTTTCTGTATCGATGGCTCCCTTCCAAACAATTGAAAAGTGCAGAAAAAAGACTGGCCCGTGAGGGGATCGAACCCGCGACCTTCGCGTTATTAGCCGACGCCCTAACCAACTGAGCTAACGGGCGACGAAATCGACTTTTTCCTTCAGCATACCATTTTTCTGTACGATGGCTCCTTCCCAAAAAATTGAAAAGTGCAGAAAAAAAGACTGGCCCGTGAGGGGATCGAACCCGCGACCTTCGCGTTATTAGCACGACGCTCTAACCAACTGAGCTAACGGGGGCCACGAAATCGACTCTCCTTCAGCATACCATTTTTCTGTATCGATGGCCCTTCAAACAATTGAAAGTGCAGAAAAAGACTGGCCGTGAGGATCGAACCCGCGACCTTCGCGTTATTAGCACGACGCTCTAACCAACTGAGCTAACGGGCCGACGAAATCACTCTTTCCCTTTAGCATACCATTTTTCTGATCGATGGTCCTTCCAAACAATTGAAAAGTGCAGAAAAAAGACTGGCCGTGGGGGATTTGAACCCGCGACCTTCGCGTTATTAGACGACGTTAACCAACTGAGCTAACGGGCCGACGAAATCGATCTCCTTCAGCATACCATTTTTCTGTTTGATGGCCCCTTCAAACAATTTAAAAGTGCAGAAAAGACTGGCCCGTGGGGATCGAACCCGCGACCTTCGCGTTATTAGCTGACGCTCAACCAACTGAGCTAACGGGCGACGAAATCGGACTCTCCTTCAGATACCATTTTTCTGTACGATGCCCTTCCAAAACAATTGAAAAGTGCAGAAAAAGACGGCCGTGGGGGTCAACCCGCGACCTTCGGTTATTAGCACACCCAACCAAAGGCTAACGGGCCGACGAAATCGACTCTCCTTCAGCATACCCTTTTTTTTATCGATGGCTCCCTTCCAAACAATTGAAAAAATGCAGAAAAAAAAGGGGGCCCCCTGGGGGGTCGAACCCCCGACCTTCGCGTTATTAGCCCCGACGCTCTAACCCTGAGCTAACGGGCCGGCGAAATCGACTCTCCTTCAGCATACCATTTTTTTGTATCGGGTCCTTCCAAAAAAATGAAAAATGCAGAAAAAAAAGGGGGCCCCTGGGGATCGAACCCCGACCTTCGCGTTATTAGCACGACGCTCTAACCAACTGAGCTAACGGGCCGTAGAAATCGACTCTCGGCATACCATTTTTTTTCTGTGTCGATGGCTCAATTACAAACAATTGAAAAGTGCAGAAAAATGAATTGGCCCGTGAGGGGATCGAACCCACGACCTTCGCGTTGTGCTGACGCTCTAACCAACTGAGCTAACGGGCCCGACGAAATCGACTCTCCTTCAGCATACCATTTTTCTGTGTCGATGGCTCCCTTCCAAACAATTGAAAAGTGCAGAAAAATGATTGGCCGTGACGGGATCGAACCACGACCTTCGCGTTATTAGCACGACGCTCTAACCAACTGAGCTAACGGGCCGACGGAAATCGACTCTCCTTCAGCATACCATTTTTTCTGTATCGATGAAACCACTTACAAACAATTGAAAAGTGCAGAAAAAAGACTGGCCCGTGGGGATCGAACCCGCGACCTTCGCGTTCAGTAGCGACGCTCTAACCAACTGGGCTAACGGGCCAGAATGAAATCGACTCTCCTTCAACGCCACCATTTTTTTCTGTATCGATTGCCTCCCTTCAAACAATTGAAAGTGCAGAAAAAGACTGGCCCGTGAGGGGATCGAACCCGCGACCTTCGCGTTGTGCTGACACGCTCTAACCAACTGAGCTAACGGTGACAAAATCGACTCTCCTTCAGCATACCGGTACTGCATACATCGTGGCTCCCTTCCAAACAATTGAAAAGTGCAGAAAAAAGACTGGCCCGTGAAAGGGGATCGAACCCCGCGACCTTCGCGTTGTGTACGACAGCTCTAACCAACTGAGCTAACGGGTCGACGAAATCGACTCTCCAGCTGTACCATTTTCTGTATCGATGAAACCCTTCAAACAATTAGAAAGATGCAGAAAAAGACTGGCCGTTGGGGATCGAACCACGACCTTCGCGTTATTAGCACGACGCTCTAACCAACTGAGCTAACGGACCGGACGAAATCGACTCTCCTTCCAGCATACCATTTTTTCTGTATCGATGGCTCCCTTACAAACAATTGAAAGTGCAGAAAAATGCAGCCCGTGAGGGGATCGAACCCCTTCGCGTTGTGCTTTGACGCTCCAACCACCCTGAGCTAACGGGCCGACGAAATCGACTTTCCTTCAGCATACCATTTTTTCTGTATCGTGGAAACCACTTCCCAATAATTGAGTGCAGAAAAAAGACTGGCCCGTGGGGAGATCGAACCCGCGACCTTCGCGTTATTGCTGACGCTCTAACCAGCCGAGCTAACGGGCCGACGAAATCGACTCTCCTTCCAGCATACCATTTTTCTGTATCGTGAAACCATACAAACAGGTGAAAAGTGCGAAAAAGGCGGCCCGTGAGGGGATCGAACCCGACGCTTCGCGTTATTAGCACGACGCTCTAACCAACTGAGCTAACTTGGCGGGCCTACCACGAACTCGACTCTCCTTCAGCATACCATTTTTCTGTATCGATGCTCTCCATACAAACAATTGAAAAGTGCAGAAAGACTGGCCCGTGATGGGATCGAACCCGCGACCTTCGTTATTAGCACGACGCTCTAACCAACTGAGCTAACGGGCCTACGAACTCGACTCTCCTTCAGCATACCATTTTTCTGTATCGATGGCTCCCTTCCAAACAATTGAACAGTGCAGAAAAAAAGACTGGCCCGTGAGGGGATCGAACCCGCGACCTTCGCGTTATTAGCACGAAGCTCTAACCAACTGAGCTAACGGGCCTACGAACTCGACTCTCCTTCAGCATACCATTTTTCTGTATCGATGGCTCCCTTACAAACAATTGAAAAGTGCAGAAAAAAAGACTGGCCCGTGAGAGAATCGAAACCGCGACCTTCGCGTTATTAGCACGACACACCAACCAACTGAGCTAACGGGCGGACGAAATCGACTCTCCCTTCAGCATACCATTTTCTACTGTACATCGTGGCTCCCTTCCAAACAATTGAACAGTGCAGAAAAAGAAGACTGGCCCGTGATGGGATCAGACCCGCGACCTTCGCGTTGTGCTTTACGAACGCTCTAACCAACTGAGCTAACGGGCCTACGAACTCGACTCTCCTTCAGCATACCATTTTTCTGTATCGATGGCTCCCTTCCAAACAATTGAAAAGTGCAGAAAAAGAAGACTGGCCCGTGATGGGATCGAACCCGCGACCTTCGCGTTATTAGCACGACGCTCTAACCAACTGAGCTAACGGGCCTACGAACTCGACTCTCCTTCAGCATACCATTTTTCTGTATCGATGGCTCCCTTCCAAACAATTGAAAAGTGCAGAAAAAGACTGGCCCGTGAGGGGATCAGACCCGCGACCATCGCGTTAATGCTGACACCACACCAATAGCGAGCTAACGGGCGGACGAAATCGACTCTCCTTCCAGCATACCATTTTCTGTATCGGTAAGCTCCCTTCCAAACAATTGAACAGTGCAGAAAAAAGACTGGCCCGTGAGGGATCAGACCACGACCTTCGCGTTATTAACGACACGCAACCAACTGAGCTAACGGGCGGACGAAATCATTTCTCCTTCAGCATACCATTTTCTGCATCGATGGCTCCCTTCAAACAATTTGAGCAGTGCAGAAAAAAAGACCTGCCCGTGAGGGATCGAACCCGACCTTCGCATTTATTAGCACGACACACCAACTTCGCTTCCTGGCTAACGGGGCGGACGAAATCGACTCTCCTTCAGCATACCATTTTTCTGTATCGATGGCTCCTTCCAAACAATTGAACAGTGCAGAAAAGGGCTGGCCGTGAGAGTCGAACCCACGACCTTCGCGTTATTAGCACAGCTCTAACCAACTGAGCTAACGAGGCCTACGAACTCGACTTCTCCTTCAGCATACCATTTTTCTGTATCGATGGCTCCCTTACAAACAATTGAAAAGTGCAGAAAAAAAGACTGGCCCGTGAGAGAATCGAAACCGACCTTCGCGTTATTAACTTTGACCACACACCAACCAACTGAGCTAACGGGCGGACGAAATCGACTCTCCTTCAGCATACCATTTTTCTGTATCGATGAAACCACTTCCAAACAATTGAACAGTGCAGAAAAAAAGACTGGCCCCGTGGGGGATCGAACCCGCGACCTTAACGTTAATGCTTTGAAACACCAACCAACTGAGCTAACGGGCGGACGAAATCGACTCTCCTTCAAAGCTGCCACCATTTTCTGTATCGATGGCTCCCTTCCAAACAATTGAACAGTGCAGAAAAAAAGACCTGCCCGTGAGGGGATCGAACCCACGACCTTCGCGTTATTAGCACGACTTACCCAACCAACTGAGCTAACGGGCGAGGACGAAATCGACTCTCCTTCAGCATACCATTTTTTCTGTATCGATGAAACCCTTCCAAACAATTGAGCAGTGCAGAAAAAGTTGTGGCCCGTGAGGGGATCGAACCCACGACCTTCGCGTTATTAGCACAGCTCTAACCAACTGAGCTAACGGGCCTACGAACTCGACTCTCCTTCCAGCATACCATTTTTTCTGTATCGATGGCTCCTTACAAACGGGTGAAAAGTGCAGAAAAAAAAGGCAGCCCCGTGAGAGAATCCAGAAACCGCGACCTTCGCGCACGTTATTAACGACACACCAATAACTGAGCTAACGGGCGGACGAAATCGGCTACTCCTTCAGCATACCATTTTCTGCTTGTCGATGAAACCAGCTTCCAAACAATTGAACGGTACAGAAAAAGAAGACTGGCCCGTGATGGGGATCGAACCCGCGACCTTCCTTCGCGTTATTAGCACGACGCTCTAACCAACTGAGCTAACGGGCCTACGAGCTCAACTCTCCTTCAGCATACCATTTTTCATCGGTGGCTCCTTCCAAACAATTGAAAAGTGCAGAAAAAGACTTTGGCCCGTGATGGGATCGAACCCGCGACCTTCGCGTTATTAGCACGACGCTCACAACCAACTGAGCTAACGGGCTACGAACTCGACTCTCCTTCAGCATACCATTTTCTGTATCGTGGCTCCCTTCAAACAGTGAAAAGTGCAGAAAAAAGACTGGCCCGTGAGGGGATCGAACCCACGACATCGCGTTATTCTTTGTTTTACCAACCAACTGAGCTAACGGGATGACGAAATCGACTCTCCTTCAGCATACCATTTTTCTGTATCGGTAAACCACTTCCAAACAATTGAAAAATTGCAGAAAAAGACTTGGCCCGTAAGGGGATCGAACCCACGACCTTCGTTATTAGCACGACGCTCACAACCGCTGACTAACGGGCCGACGAAATCGACTCTCCTTCAGCATACCATTTTTCTGTATCGATGAAACCCTTCCAAACAATTGAAAGTGCAGAAAAAAAGACGGCCGTGAGGGGATCGAACCCGCGACCTTCGCGTTATTAGCACGACGCTCTAACCAACTGAGCTAACGAATGGCCGGCAAAATCGACTCTCCTTCAGCATACCATTTTTCTGTATCGTGGCTCCCTTCAAACAATTGAAAAGTGCAGAAAAAAGACTGGCCCGTGAAGGGGATCCAGACCGACCTTCGCGTTATTGCTGACGCTCTAACCAACTGAGCTAACGGGCCGACGAAATCGACTCTCCTTCAGCATACCATTTTTCTGTATCGATGGCTCCCTTCCAAACAATTGAAAAGTGCAGAAAAAAGACGCTGGCCGTGAGGGGGATCGACCCCACGACCTTCGCGTTTATAGCACGACGCTCTAACCAACTGAGCTAACGGGCCGACGAAATCGACTCCTCCTTCCCGGCATACCATTTTTCTGTATCAGTGGCTCCCTTCCAAACAATAGAAAAGTGCAGAAAAAAAGACTGGCCCGTGGGGATCGAACCCGCGACCTTCGCGTTATTAGCACGACGCTCTAACCAACTGAGCTAACACTGGGGCAGGATGAAATCGACTCTCGGCATACCATTTTTCTGCAGCCATCGATGGCTCCCTTACAAACAATTGAAAAGTGCAGAAAAAAGGCGGCCCGTGAGGGGTATCGAACCCGCGACCTTCGCGTTATTAGCACGACGCTCTAACCAACTGAACTGGCGGGCCGGCAAAATCGACTCTCCTTCAGCATAACATTTTTTTGTATCGATGGCTCCCTTCAATCAATTGAAAAGTGCAGAAAAAGAAACTGGCCTAGGTAGATCGAACCCGCGACCTTCGCGTTATTAACTTTGACGCTCTAACCAACTTAGCTAACGTGCCGACTAATCGACTCTCCTTCAGCATACCATTTTTCTGTATCGTGAAACCCTTCAAACAATTGAAAGTGCAGAAAAAAGACTGGCCCGTGGGGCGATCGAACCCGCGACACCTTCGCGTTATTAGCACGACGCTCTAACCAACTGAGCTAACGGGCCGACGAAATCGACTCTACTCCTTTAGCATACCATTTTTCTGTATCGATGGCTCCCCTACAAACAATTGAAAAGTGCAGAAAAAGGCAGCCCGTGGGGATCGAACCCGCGACCTTCGCGTTATTAGCACGACGCTCTAACCAACTGAGCTAACGGGCCGACGAAATCGACTCTCCTTTTGCATACCATTTTTCTGTGTCGGTGAAAACCAATTACAGAAAGCAATTGAAAAGTGCAGAAAAAAGGCGGCCCGTGAGGGGATCCGAACCCGCGACGCTTCGCGTTATTAGCACGACACTCTAACCAACTTCAGGCTAACGGGCCGACGAAATCGACTCTCCTTCAGCATACTACCATTTTTCTGTGTCGATGGCTCAGTACAAACAATTGAAAAGTGCAGAAAAATGATTGGCCCGTGAGGGGATCGAACCCGCGACCTTCGCGTTATTAGCGACGGCGCTCTAACCAACTGAGCTAACGGGCCGACGAAATCGACTTTCTCCTTCAGCATACCATTTTTCTGTATCGATGGCTGCCTACAAACAATTGAAGAGTGCAGAAAAAGACTGGCCCGTGAGGATCGAACCCGCGACCTTCGCGTTATTAACTGACGCTCTAACCAGCTGAGCTAACGGGCCGACGAAATCCGACTTTCTCCTTCAGCATACCATTTTTCTGTGTCGATGGCTCCTTCCAAACAATTGAAAAGTGCAGAAAAATGATGAATTGGCCCGTGAGGATCGAACCCGCGACCTTCTCGTTATTAGCACAACGCTCTAATAACCAACTGGCTAACGGGCCGACGAAAACGACTCTCCTTCAGCATACCATTTTTCTGTATCGATGGCTCCCTTCCAAACAATTGAAAAGTGCAGAAAAAAGACACAGCCCGTGAGGGGATCGAACCCGCGACCTTCGCGTTGTGCTGACGCTCTAGCCAACTGGGCTAACGGGCCGACGAAATCGACTCTCCCCTTCAACGCTACCATTTTTCTGTATCGATGGCTCCTTCCGTAATTGAAAAGTGCAGAAAAATACTGGCCCGTGAGGGGGATCGAACCCGCGACCTTCGCGTTGTGCTGACGCGCTCTAACCAACTGAGCTAACGGGCCGACGAAATCGACTCTCCTTCAACGCCCACCATTTTTCTGTATCGATGGCTCCTTCCAAACAATTGAAAAGTGCAGAAAAAAAGACTGGCCCGTGAGAGATCAGGAACCCGCGACCTTCGCGTTATTAGCACGACGCTCCTAACCAACTGAGCTAACGGGCCGACGAAATCGACTCTCCTTCAGCATACCATTTTTTCTGTATCGATGGCCTTCCAAACAGGTGAAAAGTGCAGAAAAAAAGACTGGCCCGTGAGGGGATCGAACCCGCGACCATCGCGTTATTAGCACGAGACACCAACCAACTGAGCTAACGGGCGGACGAAATCGACTCTCCTTCAGCATACCATTTTTCTGTATCGATGGCTCCCTTCCAAACAATTGAAAAGTGCAGAAAAAGAAGACTTGCCCGTGAGGGGATCGAACCCGCGACCTTCGCGTTATTAGCACGACGCTCTAACCAGCGCTGAGCTTCGCGGGCCTACGAACTCGACTCCCCTTGGCATGCCATTTTTCTGTATCGATGGCTCCCTTCCAAACAATTGAAAAGTGCAGAAAAAGAAGACTGGCCCGTGAGGGGATCGAACCCGCGACCTTCGCGTTGACAGCACGATATACAACGCTGGGCTAACGGGCCCGGCAAAATCGACTCTCCTTCAGCATACCATTTTTCTGTATCGATGGTTCCCTTCAAACAACTGAAAGTGCAGAAGAAAGACTGGCCCGTGAGGGGATCGAACCCGCGACCTTCGCGTTATTAGCACGATGCTCTAACCAACTGAGCTAACGGGCCGACGAAATCGACTCTCTTTCAGCATACTATTTTTCTGTATCGATGAAACCTTCCAAACAATTGAAAAGATGCAGAAAAAAGACTGGCGGCCCGTGGGGGGATCGAACCCACGACCTTCGCGTTATTAGCACGACGCTCTAACCAACTGAGGCTAACGGGCCGACAAAATCGACTCTCCTTCAGCATACCATTTTTTCTCAGCATCGTGGCTCCCTTCCAAACAATTGAAAGTGCAGAAAAAAGGCTGGCCGTGAGGGGGATCAGACCCGCGACCTTCGCGTTATTAGCACGACGCTCTAACCAACTGAGCTAACGGGCCGACGAAATCGACTCTCCTTCAGCATACCATTTTTCTGTGTCGATGGCTCAATTACAAACAATTGAAAAGTGCAGAAAAAAAGACTGGCCCGTGAGGGGATCGAACCCGCGACCTTCGCGTTATTAGCACGACGCTCTAACCAACTGAGGCTAACGAAGACCGACTGTATCGACTCTCCTTCAGCATACCATTTTTCTGTATCGATGGCTCCCTTCCAAACAATTGAAAAGTGCAGAAAAAAAGACTGGCCCGTGAGGGGATCGAACCCGCGACCTTCGCGTTATTAGCACGACGCTCTAACCAACTGAGCTAACGGGCCCGGCAGAAATCTACTCTCCTTTAGCATACCATTTCTGTATCGATGAAACCACAAACAATTGAAAAGTACGGAAAAAAAGACTGGCCCGTGAAGGGGGATCGAACCCGCGACCTTCGCGTTATTAACTTTGACGCTCTAACCAACTGAGCTAACAGACTGACGAAATCGACTCTCCTTCAGCATACCATTTCTGTCGATGGCTCCTTCCAAACAATTGAAAAATTTAAAAGACTGGCCCGGAGGGGATCGAACCCACGACCTTCGCGTTATTAGCACGTCGCTCTAACCAACTGAGCTAACGGGCCGACGAAATCGACTCTCCTTTAGCATACCATTTTTTCTGTATCGATGAAACCACAAACAATTGAAAGTGCAGAAAAAAAGACTGGCCGTGGGGGATCAGACCCGCGACCTTCGCGTTATGCTTTGACGCTCCTAACCAACTGAGCTAACGGGCCCACGAAGTCGAGTCTCCTTCCAGCGCCACCATTTTCTGTATCGATGGCTCCCCTACAAACAATTGAAAAGTGCAGAAAAAAAGGCTTGGCCAATGTGAGGGGGATCGAACCCGCGACCTTCGCGTTATTAGCACGACGCTCTCTAACCAACTGAGCTAACGGGCCGACGAGTGAGTCTCCTTCAGCATACCTACCATTTTTCTGTCGATGGCTCAATTACAAACAATTGAAAACAGTGCAGAAAAAGACTGGCCCGTGATGGTTCGGGATCGAACCGCGACCTTCGTTATTAGCACGAACGCTCCTAACCAACTGAGCTAGCAGACTACGAACTCGACTCTCCCTTCAGCATACCATTTTTCTGTATCGATGGCTCCCTTCCAAACAATTGAAAAGTGCAGAAAAAAAGACTGGCCCGTGATGGGGATCGAACCACGACCTTCGCGTTATTAGCACGACGCTCACAACAACTGAGCTAACAGACTCTGAACTCGACTCTCCTTCAGCATACCATTTTCTGTATCGATGGCTCCCTTCCAAACAATTGAAAAAGTGCAGAAAAAGGCTGGCCCGTGAGGATCGAACCCGCGACCATCGCGTTATTATACGACACACCAACCAACTGAGCTAACGGGCGGACGAAATCGACTCTCCTTCAACGCCACCATTTTCTGTATCGATGGCTCCCTTCCAAACAATTGAACAGTACAAAAAAAAAAGACTGGCCCGTGAGGGGGATCGAACCCGGACCTTCGCGTTATTGCTGACACACCAACCAACTGAGCTAACGGGCGGACGAAAATCCGACTCTCCTTCCAGCATACCACCATTTTCTGTATCGATGAAACCACTTCCAAACAATTGAACAGTGCAGAAAAAAAGACCTGCCCGTGGGGGATCGAACCCACGACCTTCGTTATTAGCACGACACACCAGCCAACTGAGCTAACGGGCGGACGAAATCGACTCTCCTTCCGGCATACCATTTTCTGTATCGATGGCTCCCTTCCAAACAATTGAACAGTGCAGAAAAAGACTGGCCCGTGAGGGATCGAACCCGCGACCTTCGCGTTATTGCCTGAAGCTCTAACCAACTGGCTAACGGGCCTACGAACTCGACTCTCCTTCAGCGCCACCATTTTTCTGTATCGGTAAACCATACAAACAATTGAAAAGTGCAGAAAAAAGACTGGCCCGTGAGAGAATCGAAGAGAGCCGCGACCTTCGCGTTATTAGCACGACACACACCAACCAACTGAATTAACGGGCGGACGAAAATCGACTCTCCTTCAGCATACCATTTTCTGTATCGATGGCTCCCTTCCAAACAATTGAAAAGTGCAGAAAAAGACTGGCCCGTGAGGGGATCGAACCCGCGACCTTCGCGTTATTAGCACGACACACCAACCAACTGAGCTAACGGGCGGACGAAATCGACTCTCCTTCAGCATACCATTTTTTCTGTATCGTGAAACCACTTCAAACAATTGAACAGTGCAGAAAAAAGACCTGCCGTGAGGATCGAACCCGACCTTCGCGTTATTAGCACGACACACCAACCAACTGAGCTAACGGGCGGACGAAATCGACTCTCCTTCAGCATACCATTTTTCTGTATCGATGGCTCCCTTCCAAACAATTGAACAGTGCAGAAAAAGACTGGCCCGTGAGGGGATCAGACCCGCGACCGCGTTATTAGCACAAGCTCTAACCAACTGAGCTAACGGGCCTACGAACTCGACTCTCAGCCAGCATACCATTTTTCACCATACATCATTGAAACCACCCTGCAAACAATTGAAAAGTGCAGAAAAAGACTGGCCCGTGAGAGAATCGAAACCACGACCTTCGCGTTATTGGCGACACACCAACCAACTGGGCTAACGGGCGGACGAAATCGACTCTCCCTTCAGCATACCATTTTTCTGTATCGATGGCTCCTTCAAACAATTGAACAGTGCAGAAAAAAGACTGGCCCACGGCGGGTAGGATCACGACCTTCGCGTTATTAGCACGACGCTCTAACCAACTGAGCTAGCAGACACGAACTCGACTCTCTCCTTCAGCGCCACCATTTTTTCTGTATCGATGGCTCCCTTCCAAACAATTGAAAAGTGCAGAAAAAAAGACTGGCCCGTGAGGGGATCGAACCCGCGACCTTCGCGTTATTAGCACGACGCTCTAACCAACTGAGCTAACGGGCCTACGAACTCGACTCTCCTTCAGCATACCATTTTTCTGTATCGATGGCTCCTTTCCAAACAATTGAAAAGTGCAGAAAAAAAGACTTGGCCCGTGGGGGATCAGACCCGCGACCATCACAGCACGTTATTAGCACGACACACCAACCAACTGAGCTAACGGGATGACGAAATCGACTCTCCTTCAACCGCCCACCATTTTTCTGTATCGATGACTTTTCCAAACAATTGAAAAGTGCAGAAAAAGAAGACTGGCCCGTAAGGGGATCGAACCCGCGACCTTCGCGTTATTAGCACGACGCTCTAACCAACTGAGCTAACGGGCCGACGAAATCGACTCCTTCAGCATACCATTTTTTCTGTATCAATGGCTCCCTTCCAAACAATTGAAAAGTGCAGAAAAATGACTGGCCCGTGAGGGGGATCCGAACCCGCGACCTTCGCGTTATTAGCACGACGCTCTAACCAACTGAGCTAACGGGCCGACGAAATCGACTCTCCTTCAGCATACCATTTTTCTGTATCGATGGCTCCCTTCCAAACAATTGAAAAGTGCAGAAAAAGACTGGCCCGTGAGGGGATCGAACCCGCGACCTTCGTTATTAGCACGACGCTCTAACCAACTGAGCTAACGGGCCGACGAAATCGACTCTCCTTCAGCATACCATTTTTTCTGTATCGGTAAACCAGCCAAACAATTGAAAAGTGCAGAAAAAAGACTGGCCCGTGGGGATCGAACCCGCGACCTTCGCGTTTATAGCACGACGCTCTAACCAGCTATGAGCTAACGGGCCGACGGAAATCGACTCTCCTTCAGCGCCACCATTTTCTGTATCGATGGCTCCCTTCAAACAATAAGAAAAGTGCAGAAAAAAGACTTGGCCCGTGAGGGATCGAACCCACGACCTTCGCGTTATTAGCACGACGCTCCTAACCAACTGTGAGCTAACGGGCCGGACCCAGAAATCGACTCTCCTTCAACCACCATTTTCTGTATCGATGGCTCCCCTTACAAACAATTGAAAAGTGCAGAAAAAAGACTGGCCCGTGAGGGAATTATCAGACCCGCGACCTTCGCGTTATTAGCACGACGCTCTAACCAACTGAGCTAACGGGCCGACGAAATCGACTCTCCTTCAGCATAATTTTTGTATCGGTAAACCCTTCAATCAATTGAAAAGTGCAGAAAAAGACTGGCCCCATGTGGTAGATCGAACCCGCGACCTTCGCGTTATTAGCACGACGCTCTAACCAACTTAGCTAACGTGCCGACTAAATCGACTCTCCTTCAGCATACCATTTTTCTGTATCGATGGCTCCCTTCCAAACAATTGAAAAGTGCAGAAAAAGACTGGCCCGTGAGGCGATCGAACCCGCGACCTTCGCGTTATTAGCGACGCTCTAACCAACTGAGCCTAACGGGCCGACGAAATCGACTCTCTTTAGCATACCATTTTTCTGTATCGATGGCTCCCCTACAAACAATTGAAAAGTGCAGAAAAAAGACTGGCCCGTGAGGGGATCGAACCCGCGACCTTCGCGTTTATTAGCGACGCTCTAACCAACTGAGCCAGCTAACGGGCCGGCAAATCGGCTCTCGCTTTTGCACCGCTTTCTGTGTCGATGGCTCAATTACAAACAATTGAAAAGTGCAGAAAAAAAGACTGGCCCGTGAGGGGATCGAACCCGCGACCTTCGCGTTATTAGCACGACGCTCTAACCAACTGAGCTAACGGGCCGACGAAATCGACTCTCCTTCAGCATACCATTTTTCTGTGTCGATGGCTCAATTACAAACAATTGAAAAGTGCAGAAAAAATGATTGGCCCGTGGGGATCGAACCCGCGACCTTCGCGTTATTAGCACGACGCTCTAACCAACTGAGCTAACGGGCCGACGAAATCGACTCTCCTTCCAGCATACCATTTTTTCTGTATCGATGTGTACTTACAAACAATTGAAGAGTGCAGAAAAAAGACTGGCCCGTGGGGGGATCCAGACCCGCGACCTTCGCGTTATTAGCACGACGCTCTAACCAACTGAGCTAACGGGCCGACGAAATCGACTCTCCTTCAGCATACCATTTTTCTGTGTCGATGGCTCCCTTCCAAACAATTGAAAAGTGCAGAAAAAATGATTGGCCCGTGAGGGGATCGAACCCGCGACCTTCTCGTTGTGTACAACGCTCTAACCAACTGGGCCTAACGGGCCGACGAAACGACTCTCCTTCCAGCATACCATTTTTTCTGTATCGATGGCTCCCTTACAAACAATTGAAAAGTGCAGAAAAAAGACTGGCCCGTGAGGGGATCGAACCCGCGACCTTAGCGTTATTAACTGACGCTCTAACCAACTGAGCTAACGGGCCGACGAAATCGACTCTCCTTCAGCATACCATTTTTTCTGTATCGATGGCTCCCTTCAAACAATTGAAAAGTGCAGAAAAATACTGGCCCGTGAGGGGATCGAACCCGCGACCTTCGCGTTATTAGCACGACGCTCTAACCAACTGAGCTAACGGGCCGTCGACTCTCCTTCAGCATACCATTTTCTGTATCGATGGCTCCCTTCCAAACAATTGAAAAGTGCAGAAAAAAAAGACTGGCCCGTGAGGGATCAGACCCGCGACAGCTAGCGCGTTATTAGCACGACGCTCTAACCAACTGAGCTAACGGGCCGACGAAATCGACTTTCCTTCAGCATACCATTTTTCTGTATCGATGGCTCCTTTCCAAACAATTGAAAAGTGCAGAAAAAGGCTGGCCCGTGGGGGGATCGAACCCGCGACCATCGCGTTGTGCTGACACACCAACCAACTGGGCTAACCGCGGGGCGGACGAAATCGACTCTCCTTCAGCATACCATTTTTCTGTATCGATGGCTCCCTTCAAACAATTGAAAGTGCAGAAAAAGAAGACTTGCCCGTGAGGGGATCAGACCCACACGACCTTCGCGTTATTAGCACGACGCTCTAACAGGCTAACGGGCCTACGAACTCTCGACTCCCCTTCAGCGCCACCACTGCTGTATCGATGAAACCCTTCCAAACAATTGAAAAGGGTAAAAACTGGCCCGTGAGGGATCGAACCCACGACCTTCGCGTTATTGCTGATGTCTAACCAACTAGGCTAACGGGCCGACGAAATCGACTCTCCTTCAGCATACCATTTTTCTGTATCGATGGTTCCTTCCAAACAACTGAAAAGTGCGAAGAAAGACTGGCCGTGGGGGATCGAACCCGCGACCTTCGCGTTATTAGCACGATGCTCTAACCAACTGAGCTAACGGGCCGTGAAATCAAACTCTCTTTCCGGCATACTATTTTCCGCCAGCTATCAGGTGACCGCTTCCAAACAATTGAAAAGTGCAGAAAAAAGACGCTGGCCCGTGAGGGGATCCAGACCCACGACCTTCGCGTTATTAGCACGACGCTCTAACCAACTGAGCTAACGGGCCGACAAATCGACTCTCCTTCAGCATACCATTTTTCTGTATCGATGAAACCGCTTCAAACAATTGTAATGCAAACAGGCGAAAGTGCAGAAAAAAGGCGGCCCGTAGGGGATCGAACCCACTGACCTTCGCGTTATTCGCTGACGCTCTAACCAGCTGAGCTAACGGGCCATTGTATCGACTCTCCTTCCAGCATACCATTTTCTGTATCGATGGCTCCCTCAAACAATTGAAAAGTGCAGAAAAAAAGACTGGCACGTGAGGGGATCGAACCCGCGACCTTCGCGTTATTAGCACGACGCTCTAACCAACTGAGCTAACGGGCCGACGAAATCGACTCTCCTTTAGCATACCATTTTTCTGTATCGATGGCTCCCCTACAAACAATTGAAAAGTGCAGAAAAAAAGACTGGCCCGTGAGGGGATCGAACCCGCGACCTTCGCGTTATTAGCACGACGCTCTAACCAACTGAGCTAACGGGCCGACGAAATCGACTCTCCTTCAGCATACCATTTTTCTGTGTCGATGGCTCCCTTCCAAACAATTGAAAAGTGCAAAAAGACTGGCCCGTGAGGGGATCAGACCCACGACCTTCGCGTTATTAACACGACGCTCTAACCAACTGAGCTAACGGGCCGACGAAATCGACTCTCCTTTAGCATACCATTTTTTCTGTATCGATGGCTCCCCTACAAACAATTGAAAAGTGCAGAAAAAAAGACTGGCCCGTGAGGGGATCGAACCCGACCTTCGCGTTAATAACACGACGCTCTAACCAAGCACGGCCTAACGGGCTGAAGTCAGTCTCCTTCAGCATACCATTTTCTGTATCGATGGCTCCCACAAACAATTGAAAAGTGCAGAAAAAAAGGCTGGCCCGTGGGGATCAGACCCGCGACTTAGCCTTCGCGTTATTAGCACGACGCTCTACAACCAACTGAGCTAACGGGCCGACGAAATCAGGGGTCTTTCCTTCCAGCATACCATTTTCTGTGTCGTGCTCAATTACAAACAATTGAAAGTGCAGAAAAAGACTGGCCCCGTGAGGGGATCGACCCGCGACCTTCGCGTTGTGCTTTGACAGCTCTAACCAACTGAGCTAACGGGCGGACGAAATCGACTCTCTTCAGCATACCATTTTTCTGTATCGATGGCTCCCTTCCAAACAATTGAAAAGTGCAGAAAAAGCCTGGCCCGTGAGGGGATCGAACCCGCGACCTTTGCGCGTTATTAGCACGACGCTCTAACCAACTGAGCTAACGGGCCGACCGTCGACTCTCCTTCAGCATACCGTTTTCTGTATCGATGAAACCCTTCCAAACAAGTGAAAAGTGCAGAAAAAGACTGGCCCGTGAGGGGATCGAACCCGCGACCTTCGCGTTATTAGCGACGCTCCCACAACCAGCGCTGAGCTGGGCCGACGAAATCGACTTTCCTTCAGCATACCATTTTTCTGTATCGATGGCTCCCTTCCAAACAATTGAAAAGTGCAGAAAAAAAGACTGGCCCGTGAGGGGATCGAACCCGCGACCATCGCGTTATTAGCACGACACACCAACCAACTGAGCTAACGGGCGGACGAAATCGACTCTCCTTCAGCATACCATTTTTCTGTATCGGTAAACCCTTCAAACAATTGAAAGAGTACGAAAAAGACTTGCCCGTGAGGGGGATCGAACCCGCGACCTTCGCGCGTTATTAGCACGACGCTCTAACCAACTGAGCTAACGGGCCTACGAACTCGACTCCCCTTAGCAAACCCTTTTTTTGTATCGATGGCTCCCCTCAAACAATTGAAAAGTGCAGAAAAAAGCGGGCCCCTGAGGGGATAACCCCACCTTGCGTTTTAAACACGCGCTCTAACCAACTGAGCTAACGGGGCCCGAAAAGATTCCCAGCAACCCTTTTTCGGTCATGGGCCTTCCGAAAACGAAAAAATGGCCCGTGGGGAAAAACCCGACCTTCGCGGACACCCAACCAACTGAGTAACGGGCGGGCAAAACAAAATTTCCCTTTAGCTACCATTTTTTTGTATCGATGGCTCCTTCAAACAATTGAAAAGGGAAAAAGCTGGCCCGTGGGGATCGAACCCCCGACCTTGCGTTATTAGCACGACGCTCTAACCAACTGGCTAACGGCCGACGAAATCGATTCCTTCAGCATACATTTTTTTATCGATGGCTCCCTTCAAACAATTGAAAAGTGCAGAAAAAAACGGCCCGTGGGATGAACCGCGACCTTGCGTTATTAGCCCACGCTCTAACCAAAACTAACGGGCCGACAAATCATTCCTTCAGCAACCATTTTTCTGTATCATGGCCCCTTCCAAAAAATTTAAAAGTGCAGAAAAAAAATGGCCCGTGGGATCGAACCCGCACCTTTGGTTATTAGCACGACCCAACCAACTGAGCTAACGGGCCGACGAAAACGACTCTCCTTAGCATCCCTTTTCTGTATCGATGGCTCCCCCAAAAAAATTTAAAAATGCAGAAAAAGCGGCCCGTGGGGGATCGAAACCCCCGACCTTGCGTTTTAGCACGCGCTCTAACCAACTGAGCTAACGGGCCGAGAAATCGACTCTCCCTTCACATACCATTTTTTTGTTCGATGGCTCCCTTCCCAAAAAATTTAAAAATAAAAAAAGACTGGCCCGTAGGGGATAACCCCGACCTTCGCGTTATTAGCACGACGCTCTAACCAACTGAGCTAACGGGCCGACGAAATCGACTCTCCCCTTCAGCATACCATTTTTCTGTTCGATGGCTCCCCCTTAAAAAAATTGAAAATGCAAAAAAGACGGCCCGTGGGGGGCGAACCCCGACCTTCGCGTTTTGCCGACGCTCAACCAACTGAGCTAACGGGCCGACGAAATCGACTTCCTTTTGCATACCATTTTTTTTGTATCGATGGCTTTTCAAACTTTAAAAGTGCAGAAAAAAAACTGGCCTGGGGATCGAACCCCCGGGCCTTCGCGTTTTGCACGACGTCTAACCAACTGGCTAACGGCCACGAAATCCCATTCCTTCAGCATACCATTTTTTTGTATCATGGCCCCCCAAAAAAATTGAAAAGTGCAGAAAAAAAACGGCCCGTGGGGGATCGAACCCGCACCTTCGCGTTATTAGCACGACGCTCAACCAACTGAGCTAACGGGGCCCAGAAATCGACTCTCCTTCAGCATACCATTTTTTTTGTTTGATGGCTTTTCAAACAATTTAAAATAAAAAAAAACTGGCCCGTGGGGGATCAACCCGGACCTTTGCGTTATTAACGACGCCCCCGAGCTAACGGGGCCCGAAATCGTCTCCTTCAGCATACCATTTTTCTGTTCGATGGCTCCCTTCCAAACAATTGAAAAGTGCAAAAAAAATGGCCCGGAGGGGATCAACCCCACCTTTCGTTATTGCCGACGCTCTAACCAACTGGTAACGGGCCGCGAAATCGACTCTCCTTTTGCATACCATTTTTCTGTTCGGGTTTCCCCCAAAAAATTGAAAAGTGCAGAAAAAAACGGCCCGTGGGGGTCGAACCCCGACCTTCGGTTATTAGCCGACGCTCTAACCAACTGAGCTAACGGGCCCCCCGAAATCGATCTCCTTCAGCATACCATTTTTTTTTTCCCATGGCTCCCTTCCCAAAAAATTGAAAAAATGCAAAAAAAGCTGGCCCGTGGGGATCGAAACCCCCGACCCCGCGTTTGCCGCGCTCTAACCAACTGAGCTAACGGGCCGACGAAATCATCTCCTTTAGCATACCTTTTTGTTCGATGGCCCCTCAAAAAAAATTTAAAAGTGCGAAAAAAAACGGGGGCCCGTGGGATAACCCGCGACCTTTGCGTTATTTGCCGCCTCTAACCAACTGAGCTAACGGGGCCACGAAATCGATCTCCTTCAGCATACCATTTTTTTGTAATGGCCCCCCCCAAACAATTGAAAAGGCAAAAAAAAACGGCCCGTGGGGGACGAAACCCCCGACCTTGGTTTGACGACCTCTAACCCAAATGAGCTAACGGGCCGACGAAATCATCTCCTTAGCATACCATTTTCTGTTCGATGGCTCCCTTCAAACAATTGAAAAGTAAAAAAAAAACTGGCCCGTGAGGGGATCCCAACCCGCGACCTTCGCGTTATTAGCACGACGCCTAACCAACTGGCTAACGGGCCACGAAATCGACTTCCTTAAACCATTTTTTTGTATCGATGGCTTTCCAAACAATTGAAAAGTGCAGAAAAAAAACTGGCCGTGGGGGTGAACCCCGGGCCTTCGCGTTTTAGCAGACGTCTAACCCAAATGAGCTAACGGGCCGACGAAATCGACCCCCCTTCAGCAACCACGTATGTGGCTCCCCCCCAAACAATTGAAAAGTGCAGAAAAAAAACTGGCCCGTGAGGGGGTCAACCCGCGACCTTCCTTTTGCCGCGCTCTAACCCAACTGAGCTAACGGGCCGACGAAAACGACTTTTCAGCATACCATTTTTTTGTATCGTGCCCTTCAAACGATTGAAAAGTGCAGAAAAAAGACTGGCCCGTGAGGATCGAAAACCCCCGACCTTCGCGTTATTAGCACGACGCTCTAACCAACTGAGCCTAACGGGCCGACGAAAACGACTCTCCTTCAGCATACCATTTTTCTGTATCGATGGCTCCTTCCCAAAAAATTGAAAAGTGCAGAAAAAAGACTGGCCCGTGGGGGATCGAACCCCGACCTTCGCGTTGTGCACGACGCTCAACCACGAGCTAACGGGCCGACGAAATCGATCTCCTTCGCATCATTTTTCTGTATGATGGCTTTCAAACAATTGAAAAGTGCAGAAAAGAAAATGGCCCGTGAGGGGATCCCAACCCGCGACCTTCGCGTTATTAGCACAGCTCTAACCAACTGAGCTAACGGGCTGACGAAATCGACTTTCCTTTCAGCATACCATTTTTCTGTATCGATGGCTCCCTTCAAACAATTGAAAAGTGCAGAAAAAAAGACTGGCCCGTGAGGGGATCAGAACCCGCGACCTTCGCGTTATTAGCACGTCGCTCTAACCAACTGAGCTAACGGGCCGACGAAATCGACTCTCCTTCAGCATACCATTTTTCTGTATCGATGGCTCCCTTACAAACAATTGAAAAGTGCAGAAAAAGGCTGGCCCGTGAGGATCGAACCCGCGACCTTCGCGTTATTAGCACGACGCTCTAACCAACTGAGCTAACGGGCCGACGAAATCGACTCTCCTTCAGCATACCATTTTTCTGTATCGATGGCTCCCTTACAAACAATTGAAAAGTGCAGAAAAAAGACTGGCCCGTGAGGGATCGAACCGCGACCTTCGCGTGTATTAGCGACGCTCCTAACCAACTGAGCTAACGGGCGACGAAATCGACTCTCCTTCAGCATACCATTTTTCTGTATCGATGAAGCTCCCTTAAACAATTGAAAAGTGCAGAAAAAGACTGGCCCGTGAGGATCGAACCCGCGACCTTCGCGTTATTAGCACGACGCTCTAACCAACTGAGCTAACGGGCCGACGAAATCGACTCTCCTTCAGCATACCATTTTTCTGTATCGATGGCTCCTTCAAACAATTGAAAAGTGCAGAAAAAGACTGGCCCGTGATGGGATCGAACCCGCGACCTTCGCGTTATTAGCACGACGCTCTAACCACTGAGCTAACGGGCCGACGAAATCGACTCTCCTTCAGCATACCATTTTTCTGTATCGATGGCTCCCTTCCAAACAATTGAAAAGTGCAGAAAAAGACTGGCCCGTGAGGGGATCGAACCCGCGACCTTCGCGTTATTAGCACGACGCTCTAACCAACTGAGCTAACGGGCCGACGAAATCGACTCTCCTTCAGCATACCATTTTTCTGTATCGATGGCTCCTTACAAACAATTGAAAAGTGCAGAAAAAAAGACTGGCCCGTGAGGGGATCGAACCCGCGACCTTCGCGTTATTAGCACGACGCTCTAACCAACTGAGCTAACGGGCGACGAAATCGACTCTCCTTCAGCATACCATTTTTCTGTATCGATGGCTCCCTTCCAAACAATTGAAAAGTGCGAAAAAAGAGCTGGCCCGTGAGGGATCGAACCCGCGACCTCGCGTTATTAGCACGACGCTCTAACCAGCTGAGCTAACGGGCCGTGAAATCGACTCTCCTTCCAGCATACCATTTTTCTGTATCGATGGCTCCCTTCCAAACAATTGAAAAGTGCAGAAAAGACTGGCCCGTGAGGGATCGAACCGCGACCTTCGCGTTATTAGCACGACGCTCTAACCAACTGAGCTAACGGGCCGACGAAATCGACTCTCCTTCAGCATACCATTTTTCTGTATCGATGGCTCCCTTACAAACAATTGAAAAGTGCAGAAAAAAAGACTGGCCCGTGAGGGGATCGAACCCGCGACCTTCGCGTTATTAGCACGACGCTCTAACCAACTGAGCTAACGGGCCCACGAAATCGACTCTCCTTCAGCATACCATTTTCTGTATCGATGGCTCCTTCCAAACAATTGAAAAGTGCAGAAAAAAGACTGGCCCGTGAGGATCGAACCCGCGACCTTCGCGTTATTAGCACGACGCTCTAACCAACTGAGCTAACGGGCCGACGAAATCGACTCTCCTTCAGCATACCATTTTTCTGTGTCGATGGCTCCCTTCCAAACAATTGAAAAGTGCAAAAAAAAGACTGGCCCGTGAGGGGATCGAACCCGCGACCTTCGCGTTATTAGCACGACGCTCTAACCAACTGAGCTAACGGGTCGACGAAATCGACTCTCCTTTAGCATACCATTTTTCTGTATCGATGGCTCCCTACAAACAATTGAAAAGTGCAGAAAAAAGGCTGGCCCGTGAGGGGGATCGAACCCGCGACCTTCGCGTTATTAGCCACGACGCTCTAACCAACTGAGCTAACTGGCCCCTGAAATCGAGGTCTCCTTCAGCATACCATTTTTCTGTATCGATGGCTCCCACAAACAATTGAAAAGTGCAGAAAAAAAAGACTGGCCCGTGAGGGGATCGAACCCGCAACCTTCGCGTTATTAGCACGACGCTCTAACCAACTGAGCTAACGGGCCGACGAAATCGACTCTCCTTCAGCATACCATTTTTCTGTGTCGATGGCTCATTACAAACAATTGAAAAGGGTGCAAAAATAAAGACTGGCCCGTGAGGATCGAACCGCGACGCTTCGCGTTATTGCTTTGACGCTCTAACCAACTGAGCTAACGGGCCGACGAAATCGACTCTCCTTCAGCATACCATTTTTCTGTGTCGATGGCTCCTTCCAAACAATTGATAAGTGCAAAAATAGGACTGGCCCGTGAGGGGATCAGACCCGCGACCTTCAGCGTTATTGCTTTACGACGCTCACAACCAACTGGCTAACGGGCCGACGAAATCAGCTCTCCTTTAGCTTATACCATTTTTCTGTATCGATGGCTCCTACAAACAATTGAAAAGTGCAGAAAAAAGACTGGCCCGTGAGGATCGAACCCACGACCTTCGCGTTATTCTAGCACGACGCTCTAACCAACTGAGCTAACTTGGGCCGACGAAATCGAGTCTCCTTCAGCATACCATTTTTTCTGTATCATTAACCCTTCAAACAATTGAAAAAGTGCAGAAAAAAGACTGGCCCGTGAGGGGGATCGAACCCGCGACCTTCGCGTTATTAGCACGACGCTCTAACCAACTGAGGCTAACGGGCCGGCGAAATCGACTTTCCTTCAGCATACCATTTTTCTGTATCCCGTGGCTCCCTTCCAAACAATTGAAAAGTTCAGAAAAAAGACTGGCCCGTGGGGATCAAGACCCGCGACCATCGCGTTATTAGCACGACACACCAACCACCTGAGCTAACGGGCGGACGAAATCGACTCTCCTTCAGCATACCATTTTTCTGTATCGATGGCTCCCTTCCAAACAATTGAAAAGTGCAGAAAAAGGCTGGCCCGTGAGGATCGAACCCGCGACCATCGCGTTATTAGCACGACACACCAACCAACTGAGCTAACGGGCCGACGAAATCGACTCTCCTTCAGCATACCATTTTTCTGTATCGATGGTTCCCTTCCAAACAACTGAAAAGTGCAGAAAGAAAGACTGGCCCGTGAGGGGATCGAACCCGCGACCTTCGCGTTATTAGCACGACGCTCTAACCAACTGAGCTAACGGGCCGACGAAATCGACTCTCCTTCAGCATACCGACAGTATTCGATGGCTCAGTACAAACGTTGAAAAGTGCAGAAAAAGACTGGCCCGTGAGGGGATCGAACCGCGACCCCAGATTGTTGGCATTTAAACCGGCTGACTGGGGCCGACGTCGACTCTCACTAACAGCCACCCATTTTCATTCAGGTGACCACTTCCGGCAGTAAAGGTGCAAAAGGCTGACGCGAAGTCGAACCCGCGACGCTTCGCGTTATTGGCGACGGCTCAGCTGACGGGGCGGGCGATTTCGCATTCTGCTTTGCAGCATGCCAACGTCTAGGTGAACCACACGGAAACGGTGAAGGTGCAGGAAAGACGTGCGGGATGATGGCGTTGGTGGAAACCGGCTTTGGGCTGGCAGGTAAAACTCTGTTTCCGGCGTGGTGACAGAACATTTTGGCTGGAAGGTGAGGATCAGACCCGCGACCTTCGCGTTATTGAACACGACGCTCTAACCAGCTATGAGGCCCCAACGGGCCGACGAAATCGACTTTCTCCTTCAACGCCACCATTTTTCTGTGTCGATGGCTCCTTGAAACAATTGAAAAGTGCAAAAAAAGACTGGCCGTGAGGGGATCGAACCCGCGACCTTCGCGTTAATACGACGCTCTAACCAGCTGAGCTAACAGGCCGACGAAATCGATACTCCTTTAGCATACCATTTTAACATACATCGATGGCTCCCCTACAAACAATTGAAAAGTGCAGAAAAAAAGGCTGGCCCGTGAGGGGATCGAACCCGCGACCTTCGCGTTATTAGCACGACGCTCTAACCAACTGAGCTAACGGGCCACGAAATCAGTCTCCTTCAGCATACCATTTTTCTGTACATCGTGGCTCCCCTACAAACAATTGAAAAGTGCAGAAAAAAAGACTGGCCCTTAGGGGATCGAACCCGCGACCTTCGCGTTATTAGCACGACGCTCTAACCAACTGAGCTAACGGGCCGACGAAATCGAGTCTCCTTCAGCATACCATTTTTCTGTATCGATGGCTCCCTTCCAAACAATTGAAAAGTGATGAAAAAATACTGGCCCGTGAGGGGATCGAACCCGCGACCTTCGCGTTTTTTAGCACGACGCTCTAACCAACTGAGCTAACGGGCCGACGAAATCTACTCTCAGCATACCATTTTTCTGTGTCGATGAAACCAGTACAAACAATTGAAAAGTGCAGAAAAAAAGACTGGCCCGTAGGGGGGATCGAACCCACTGACCATCGCGTTATTAGCTGACACACACCAACCAACTGAGCTAACGGGCCGACGAAATCGACTCTCCTTCAGCATACCATTTTTCTGTATCGATGGTTCCCTTCCAAACAACTGAAAAGTGCAGAAGAAAGACTTGGCCCGTGAGGATCAGACCCACGACTGCCTTCGCGTTATTAGCACGACGCTCTAACCAACTGAGCTAACGGGCCGACGAAATCGACTCTCCTTCAACGCCATTTTTTCTGTGTCGATGGCTCAATTACAAACAATTGAAAAGTGCATAAAAAAGACTGGCCCGTGAGGGGATCGAACCAACCTTCGCGTTATTAGCACGACGCTCTAAACAGCTGAGCTAACGGGCCGACGAAATCGACTCTCCTTCAGCATACCATTTTTCTGTGTCGATGGCTCCCTTCCAAACAATTGAAAAGTGCAAAAAAAAGACTGGCCCGTGAGGGGATCGAACCCGCGACCTTCGCGTTATTAGCACGACGCTCTAACCAGCGAGGCTAACGGGCCGACGAAATCGACTCTCCTTTAGCATACCATTTTTCTGTATCGATGGTCCCTCAAACAATTGAAAGTGCAGAAAAAGACGCCCGTGGGATCGAACCGCGACCTTCGCGTTTATACACACTTAACCAACTGAGCTAACGGGCGCGAAATCGATTCCTTCAGCATCCATTTTTCTGTTCGGGCTCCCAAACAATTGAAAAGTGGAAAAAGACTGCCCGGGGATGCCCACTTCGCGTTTGCACGCTCAACCACTGACTAACGGCACGAAATCGACTTCCTTCAGCACCATTTTTCTGTTCAGGCCCCTTAACAATTGAAAAGTGCAAAAAAGACTGGCCCGGGGTCGAACCGACCTTTGGTTTAGAGACCCAACAACTGAGCACGGCGACAACGACTCTCCTTAGCATACCATTTTTCTATCGATGGCTCCCTCAACAAAAAGTGAAAAATGGCCGTGAGGGATCAACCCGCACCTTCGTTATTAGCACACGCTCTAACCACTGTACGCCCAAAAAACTCCTTCGCAATTTTTTTTTTTTTTTTTTTTTTTTTTTTTTTTTTTTTTTTTTTTTTTTTTTTTTTTTTTTTTTTTTTTGGGGGGGGGGGGGGGGGGGGGGGGGGGGGGGGGGGGGGGGGGGGGGGGGGGGGGGGGGGGGGGGGGGGGGGGGGGGGGGGGGGGGGGGATACCATTTTTTTGGGCCCTTCCCAAAAAATTTAAAAGTGCAGAAAAAAAACCCCCGGGGGGGACGAACCCGCCTTCGGTTTTGTTGGTCTCCATGATTTTAAAGGGCCGACGAAATCGCTCTCCTTTAGCATACCATTTTTTTGTTCGATGGCTCCCTTCCCAAAAAATTGAAAAGTCAGAAAAAGACTGGCCCGTGAGGGATCGAACCCGCGACCTTCGCGTTATTAGCACGACGCTCTAACCAACTGAGCTAACGGGCCGACGAAATCGACCTCCTTCCCGCATACCATTTTTTTGTATCGGTGGCTCCCTTCCAAACAATTGAAAAGTGCAGAAAAAAGACCGGCCCGTAGGGGATGAACCCGCGACCTTCGCGTTATTAGCACGACGCTCTAACCAAGCTGAGCTAACGGGCCGACGAAATCGACTCTCCTTCAGCATACCATTTTTCTGTATCGATGGCTCCTTTCCAAACAATTGAAAAGTGCAGAAAAAGACTGGCCCGTGAGGGATCGAACCCGGGCCTTCGCCGTTATTAGCCGACGCTCTAACCAACTGAGCTAACGGGCCGGAAATCGACTCTCCTTCCCGCATACCATTTTCTGTTCGATGGCTCCCTTCCAAACAATTGAAAAGTGCAGAAAAAAGACTGGCCCGTGGGGGATCAACCCGCGACCTCGCGTTATTAGCACGACGCTCTAACCAACTGAGCTAACGGGCCGACGAAATCGACTCTCCTTCAGCATACCTTTTCTATGTGGTCCTTTTAAACAATTGAAAATGCAGAAAAAAAAACTGGCCCCTGGGGGATCAACCCCACCTTCGTTATTGGGGCACCTCTAACCAAAAAACGGGCACGAAATCGATCTCCTTCAGCATACCATTTTCTGTACGATCCCCCAAAAAAATTGAAAAAAGCAGAAAAAAAAACTGGCCCGGGGATCAAGGGGCCTTCCCTTTTAGGACCTTAACCAACTGAGCAACGGGCCGACGAAATCGACTCTCCTTCAGCATAAATTTTTTTGTTGATGGTCCTTCCAAAAAAAGAAAAGTGCGAAAAAGGGCGGCCCGTAAGGGGGTGAACCCCCGGGCCGGGTTTTAGCCAGCCAAACCAACTGAGCAACGGGCCAAAATCACCTCCTTCAGCATACCATTTTTTTGTTCGATGGCTCCTTCCAAACAATTAAAAAGGGAAAAAAAATGGGGATCAACCCCATGCTTTGCCACGCCAACCAACTATAAGGGGAAAATCCTCTCCTTAGCATCCATTTTAAAGATGGCCCCCAAAAATTGAAAAGTGCAGAAAAAAAATCCCGTGGGGGATCAACCCGCGACCTTCGCTTAACACGACGCTCAACCAACTGAGCTAAGGGCCACGAAATCATCTCCCTTTAGCATACCATTTTCTGTTCGGGTCCCCTTCCCAAAAAAAATTTAAAGTGCAGAAAAAATGGGCCCTGGGGGGTCAACCCCGACCTTTGCGTTATTAGCCGACGCTCTAACCAACTGAGCTGGGGGGACAAAATCCCTTACTCCCTTTTTCTGTATCATTCCCTTCAAAAAATTGAAAAGGCAGAAAAAGCTGGCCCGTGAGGGATCAACCCCGACCGCTTTGCGCGCTCTCCAACCGAGCAAAGGGGGAGAAACACTCTCCTTAGCCCATTTTCTTATCGATGGCTCCCTTAAAAAAAAAACA